GGACCCTGGGCACCATGGGTTATGACTACCCAAAATAAAAAAATCTATGTATATGAATGTCATATGAAAATGAACCACACAACTTCAGCAAGTCTCTTCAGATCTACTCAAGATCAGAAAAAACCTGAGGTCTTCTGATATATTCACGGCACAACTTTAAAACATCTTATTTACACTTTCCCATGAAGCCATGTCTACTGTTCTTCTAAAGTGAACAAACATTTAAAAACCTAAGCAATAAGTACTGTATTGAATATACACAATTAATAAAGTTAAATTATGCTTAAAGTTGCATCTAATTCAATATGAAAGTTTCAAGAAACCGATCAAGCAAATATTTGCTGTAAAAGGGAATAAAAAACAAATACAACAAAAATTACTGAATTATTGAGGAAAAAAAGAAAGCTATAGATAATAGAGACATAATAAAAACACTATTATATTTACTACACTAGATACTCGATTTCTAGGCACTTTAATGATTTCCTTTTTTAAAAACAAAAACCCCTGTGGTCAAGGACTCCTGCATGCAAGGTGTACACTCCACCACTGAGTCACATTCCTGGCTCACATTTTAATTCTTATACAATAATAAAACCTTTAGATATGGAACAAAGTTGTATTTGTGCTGAATTATCCTTTTATTATATTAAGTCACCATGAATATGTGCTGTAAGATACCACGAGGCACACAAAAAGGAGACTCTAAAAAGGATTGATAAAATATTCCATCCTTGAGTAACCTATAGATTTTTAAAGCCATGTATCAACAATTTTAACTTACTATAAAGCTTTCTATTCTGTCCTTTACTATTATTAATGCTTGCTATTTTACAATTTCTAAAAAAAATATGGGACACTTTCCTAAAATGTCACGGTTATGGTCACGGTCCTCCCACTGTTCATCAATTTGCTCGAGCGGGCCCAGTAACGTCTCCATCATGAGACTTGTTACTGTGTTTGGCATATCGAGTACGTCACGGGTAGTTTGCCAGGCTCTGCCATGCGGGCGAGATACTCTCGGTAGCTTGCTGGGCTCTCCAAAATAAAATATTGCTTTGTTTAGATAAAGTAAATTTTCTACCTTTTTATATTTACTTTATATATTAAAACTTTAAACATTATTTTCTTCATAGATAGCTACAAGAGCAATATTGGTTATGAGTATATTTGACACCTTCTGGTAGTTGGCTGTCTGGAAAAGAGTAGAGAAATTACGTAAGTGTGTGAAATATTCCAGACATCCACGTAATAGGGCAATTTTATTTTTAGAATATAAGTGTATCAACTGGATGTATAGAAGGAAAAAATGAATAGTAATTTATCTTCTGCCAGAGTTAATTATATTTATTATTGTTTAGTATGCTAAATGCATACTAAAATCTATGGAATTAAGTGTAGAAACTTCATTTGAGCTCCAGAAAAGACATAAAGGTATGTAGTGCAGAATGTTTTATGAGATAAAGACATATTATGTAATATTTATGCATATTCTAAAAATAACCTCATTTAAACAAGCAAGCTCCTGACCAATTTATACTACTAAAGTCACCCAGTTTGCCTCAGGAAAATTATGTTCAGCTGTAGCAGTTATCATAATTAACTAGAAAAACAATAATACAAAGAGCAGGCATAGATGAGATAAGAAAAAGATATCTATTATGCTTCATCATTTTAGCTAATATCCCTGCATCTAAGCTTCTGAATTATCTAAAGAATCTATTTTTTCCTCTAATATAGGACAGGATTTTAACTAATGATAATGGTGATATGTGAGGGAAATAAAGACCTTATAAGTTAATGCTAAATTGCATTACTTCTCAGTCAACATAGTCAATGTTAAAAATTACCTTCATGTACAATTTGCTAACATGTACTCATATTCTTCCTTTGTTGTACCTGGTTTTTCTGATGTAAATGTGTTTTCTTCTGTATTTTTGCTCTTGTTCTTGCCTGAATTAATATGCTTATTTTACAAGGTCTAATTCATGTCATACATATTCTCCAAAGCTCTTTAAAAACCACCTGAATTTATGAATTTCTCCCTTTTTTCTGTTTAATAAGCATATCAAAATACAAATTATTTATAAGCCAAAGCTCCTTTCAAAAGATTATGAGCAATACACAATTTGAGTAGGAGCTATGAAGTAGCAGACATGGTGTACTTTAATCTACCCAACAACGTCAAGTTAGTATTAATATTAAAATTTTATATCAACATCAAGGATATAAATTCCACCAAAGTTTTACAGCTAGGAAGTCTAATTCTACTTAGTTACAAGTTCAATTAAAAATATCATAGAAATTAAATAAAATACTATTCCAGTTCATTATGTCATTTCTATTGATGATAAAGGGTAATAAGTATTCAAAATACCTAAAGTTTATTTATTATCTCAAGAAAATGTCTCATTTTGTTTTTTTATTAAAGCTTGTCCTAAAATTTTAGTTAAGGGAATACTAAAAATATTCTTCCCTTTAAAATAAAAGTACCATATAATGCTTTCACATGCAATCTATTATTTAAAATATTTTACAATAATAAAAGAAATTAAAGAGTCAATGTTTAATTCAGCGATATTATACTTTTGGATTTGGAGGAAACCTCTTAAGCAATGCCCCAGGCATCTGGAGATACTTGGTCCACTGGGCCAGATGGTCCACTGCATCTGTGGACCAGCAGTGATGATGTTGGAGGCCCCTGGGCTAGCCCCAGCAGAGCCTGGGGCTCAGGAGGGGTCAGGAATAGACCTCAGGGCCTCAAATACAAGTTCTATGTTCTAGCTTCTTGCCCCTCCTCATTTTTAGTTTCTCATGTGAATAAGAGATGATTTGAATTTGGATAACTAAACAATAACATGTTAGAAATTGTTATAGTCCTACTTAGTGAAATTCTATTTTATTTACTTCAAAGGGATTTAAAACAGTATACAATTAAGAGCATTTGTGGTCTGGCAATCCACGTGCTACATAGATCAATTTATCCCCAAATTTCTAAGTATAATTAACTGAACATTACTGTTAAACTAAAAAGAATCACAGTTATAAAATAATAAGACTAACGTGACATTTAAAATGGTGACTGTATTAACTGGTATTAAATGGTGACTGTAATACCAAGGATTAGTCATCGATAATTTAATAGTAAATTTTGTCATTAAACCTTGGGTCCTTTGCCTTAAATTTTAATAAAAATATCATGTGTTTGATATAACAGAGACTTTTGGTTTGTGTGTATAACTCTAAACATTAATTTTATTTTAGTTTCCATAAGATTTAGAACATTCTGTCTTGAGAAAAAATACTTAGACCATTTTTCATTAAAAAAACACTTTCCAAAAATATGAAGGAATTAAATCATTCTGAAGTTCCCTCTGGTTCTTATAAATTTTAATAAATGGAGAAATTTTAGTGAAATACATAATTTCTAATAGATATCAAACATCAAAATTCTTTCAACTTACACAAATAGCCATTCACTTATCCTAATTTGAATTTGTTCAACTTCCAATGTTGCCAACATAATTTTCTTTCTTTTATTATTGTATTTGAAAAGTATACATTTCAAATAATAGCAGATCTATAATCACCTCTCAAAATACAAATAACTATGAATAAAAAAATTAAAAATAAATAAAATAGATTAACAATGACTAGATACTAACACAAATGTTATTTTTTTAATTTTGCTTTTTGGGTCGTACCCGGTGATGCACAGGGTTTATTCCTGGCTCATGCACTCAGGAGTTACTCCTGGTGGTGCTCAAGGGAGCATATGGGATGCTGGGAATCGAACCCGGGTCGGTCGTGTACAAGGCAAACAGCCTACCTGTTGTACTATCGCTCCAGTCCCACAAATGTTAACTTAATAACTTCCTAATTCCTTCTTAGCTATCAGATACAAATGCCAATATTTGTTTCATACTTTTAAATATTAAGGCATTCCTACATCTTTTGTAAAGAAGACTAAAATACAGTTAAAATCATGAGTTAAGAATAATCCTGCATCTAGAAAGACAATTAAATGTGTATTTTTCCTAAAATTGGGTTAGAAAGCATACGTAAGGACTTCTGAGTTCATTCTCATTTTGTTACTCTCTGTAGAATAAATTATACTTTCTTTCCTAATCCTTATCTCTAATTCAATTGAGAGTTTTGAGGAAATATTTTATCATTTTCATTTCATAGCACTGTAGCACTGTCCTCCCGTTGTTCACTGATTTGTTCGAGTGGGCCCAGTAATGTCTCCATTTTGAGACTTGTTGTTACTGTGTCATATTAAATACGTCACGGGTAGCTCGCCAGGCTTTGCCATGCGGGCGAGATACTCTCGGTAGCTTGCCAGGCAGGCTCTCTGAGAGGGGTCGAGGAATCGAACCTGGGCCAACCGGGTTGGCTGCGTGCAAGGTAAACTCCTTACTCACTGTGCTCACTGTGCTATATACCAAACCATGAATAATGAGGTTAAATAATTTGTTAAACTTAAAAATCGATAGTAGTTAGTGTAATCAGCCATGAGGAGAAAGCTCTTCATGAATCAGTTTTAATCTGTTTCTTGAACAAAGTAGACTTGTTTTAGTACATTTTTACATATAAAAAGCCACACTGATTTCCCTACTGCGTGTAAAAGACTTTAAAATCTATTGTCTCAGGAAGTTTTACACATAATAGTTATAACATATAAGTAATGAGCCATTTTGTTTTCACCTATTTTCATTTGTAGTTGTCAGATCAGCTGTGATGGAGATGCACTAATTTACTTGGTTTGATTTTAAAAAGGACTAAAATTGCAAAAGAAAGATGATTTTCTTCCTTATCCAGGAAAAAGTTGCTTTTACTTCATTACTTTTTAAAATTAATTAGTAGACAAAACTTTAAAGTTTTTTTTAAAGCTTTAAAAACAAAGATATGAAATACCCGGTTCAGAATTAACACATTTTAGGATAACACCTTTCTGAAGGCAGCAGTTACAAGGTCCAATGCTATTTAACCACATTTACCTCTCTCTGTCTGGAGAGTAACGGTCATCCGCCACACGATGCCTATCCATTCGGCTAATTGTATTGTAATGTCCAGTAGCTGAGCGTGTCCCTCGAAGCCCCTGTTCCACATTCCGACTGAAAGAGCAAGATACATGAACTATCTTAACACACAATAATCATACACAACAGTGAGAAATGAATCTTATTAATACAGTAGAAAAAACCCAAAAAACATTCTGTAATGTGAAGTGTAAGCTTATTGTTTTGCCTTAAATAAGTACACCTCTGGCTAGTGGTGTAAGATGGACACTGGTAGTGAAAGCTGGAGACAGGAGCTGCAGCAGAGACCAAACAAGTAGGATCAATGGGGACAGACAAAGGATTGTCTGAACAACTAATGAATGAATCCCAGTACTGCAGTGGTGATCACAATGAAAACAGAAAGAAGGAAAATTAGATTGATGTCGTGAAAAGAGTTCAACATGTTTCTCATGGGAAATACATTGTTGGATTTTCTCTTAAAGATGATAATTGTCATTTACTTTTACAAATCTACTCTCGAGTCTTTATAACTTTTTTATTTAGTTCTGGTTTGGGGGCCATGCATGGAGGTGCTTAGGACTTACTCCTGGCTCTGCCCTCCAGGATCAGTCCTGGCCGTGCTCAGAAAACCATATGGTGCGTTGGGGATCAAACTTGACTTGCATGCTGGCTGTATGAAGGCAAACACTCTTCCCACCATATTATCTCTCTAGCTTCATAAATTTTTTGGATTATTCTGAATTTCTCACTTATACAGTTCATTTTTGAGTGTCAGGATAAGCCTTTTCTACATAGACTACTATTGAGGGTTTTCTATTATGCTCAGCTGTAGGAGAGATTAGAATGCAGCCTAAAACCTGTGTCTATTTCCTTTCAGCATACTCAAAATTCTTAAGTAAAAGTCAAGCATTCTATATTTCAAACCATAATGCCCAAAAGTAGAGAGAGATTATGGGGAATACTGTCTGCCATGGAGGCAAGTGATAATGGTGGTGGGGAATGTGCACTGGTGCAGGGATGGGTGTTTGATCATTGTGTTATTGTAACCCAAACATGAAAGCTTGTAACTATCTCATGGTGATTCAATAAAATTAAAAAATAAATAAAAAATGTCACCTGGAAGTTAAAAAAAAAGTCAAGCATTCTTCACCATATATTTATTTATTTTAATAAGGATTTAATTTCTTGAAATTACAAATTTAAAATCTAGTTTTGTCTTAAACGTTTCCTTCTAATTATAAATCTTATCATTCTATTGATGTCTATTACACTGGGGAGTTGGGCCACACTCTGATAATCATGAGGTTCTCCAGGGCTATTCATACTACCTCTATGCTCATGAGGTGCTTGGTAGAACCACATACAGTGCTGGGGATCAAAAGGGGGTCAGCCACATGCATTGCAAGTTCTTAACCCTGTACTTCCTCTCCAGCCCAAGTCTACCACTGTGGCACTGTCTTCCCGTTGCTCATCAATTTGCTTGAGTGGGCCCAGTAATGTCTCCATTTTGAGGCTTATTGTTACTGTGTTTGGCATATCGAATATGTCATGGATAGTTTGCCAGACTTTGCCCTGCGGGTGAAATACTCTCGGTAGCTCGGTAGCTTGCCGGGGCTCTCTGAGAGGGGTGGAGGAATCGAACACGAGTTGGCCCCCTGCAAGGCAAATGCCCTACCTGCTGTGCTATTGCTCCAGCCCCTAGTCTACCACATTAAAGCAAAATTCTTTACAAAAGTCTGTCAATAATTTTGTTCCCATTAATGATCTTGGTGAATTCAATCTTCAGATATTTTAAACTCTTTCTGGATTTATTAGTTTTTTTAATTATTCCAATTATCTCAATAAAATATACACTATTTTAGTGCATAATATAAATTAAATCTGTAAATATGATAACTCTAAAGCTTTAATAAATGGTCCAATCTACATCTGAAAATGTGGCTTATACAGATATTTCTTCTTAGCAAAGATTTTCATATTTCTCATCCCATTAAGCTAACCACTACTTTAGTATTTATCTGGGTTAAAGTAGACATTTTTCTACTAGGCAGAAGAATTGAAGTCGCAGATTTTTGGAGCCATTTTTCCATGACCCATGCATTATTTCTATACTTTGTATGACTACATCTAATTTTAAAGCTCCACCAATCTTTAACTTTTCCTAATTCTTTTTGGGGGCGTGAGAGGGGCTATACCCAATGGTGCTCAGGGCTTATTCCTAGCTCTGCGTTATGCATCATTCCTGGGGAAGCATATCAGGTGCGAAAGGTCAAACTCAGGTTGATTGCACGTATGGCAAGCACCTTAACCACTATACTATCGTTGGCCCCCTTTTTCCTTCTTCTTAAATGATTGATACCTAAATCACTTATGAGTATACTGAGTGGGTTCTAACTAGATGTGTTAAATAATGTGATGTGATCTAAAACTGTATCTTCCTTATGGTTTTGAACTCTTTACAAAAAACAATATATAGAATATCAAAAGTTACAAAGGTGCTTACTTTTCATATTTTTATATTAATTGAGATTACTGATTAATGAATAAAATTTTTGCTTTTCCTTAAACAGTATTCCCCATGTGAATTATTATATTTAGAGATTATTAGTGATACTTTGTGATAAATAGGATATAGGACCATCATGCCACTAGAATATGTGGGCTTCCTTACCTTTGTGGAGGAGGGACGCTGGGGGACCATGATCTAGTCCTTCCTGCTACATCAACTCGATGAGGGGACCCTGTTGGTGAATAATGATTTCATTACATTACTTGTTCAGGCACTGAAAATGTCGAGCTTTGAAGATCTCAACCACTGTGTCGATGATCTAAATGTGGAAAAACTGACATTATAATTATCTATTCACTAAGTCCTTTTGTACCGCATATTCTACTAAAAAACATAATGGTAAGGCTGGAGGTCTTTGCATGTCTTAAGCTGAGGCATAATAAATAACGTGTAACATCAAGACTATATAATATTTTATAAATACTTAAAAATGAATGACAAGCACTCAAATACTGGTACTACTATGTACACGACACTGTACAAGGCAGAGTAAAAATTTTATATAGTTCATAAACGATTTCGGTAAAAAACAAGATTATTCTAAAAGTATTTTCATTTCTTTGCTGATCAAGAAGAAATTCAAATACTTAGCAACAATTATAAAAAATGCACAATTACGAAGTTCACAAATTTCTAAAACACTATCATATTTCTTTAAGAAACCAATAATATCGAAAAGCACTCTGATATAGCACAGCGGTAGGGCATTTGCCTTGCACACAGCCAACATGGCCGATCTGAGTTCGATTCCTCCGCCCTTCTCTGAGAGCCTGGCAAGCTACCGAGAGCTCGCCTGCACGGCAGAGCCTGGCAAGCTCCCCGTGACGTATTCGATATGCCAAACACAGTAACAACAAAGTCTCCAATAGAGACATTACTGGGCCCGCTCGAGCAAATCAATGATCAACGGGAGAGCCTTTATTTTATTATTTATTTTACTCTGATACCACTGAAAGTAACTATGTAAACTGGGTTACCTTATAATATCGATGAAAATGAGATACAACAGAAGCCTGACAATGAATACAGGGTAAATTGGCAGATTGAACAAAGCACAATAACTGACATGTCAAGTGGTGATGAAATCCATATAAGTTCTAGAAAGTAAGTGACCAAGAGGGAGAAAATGAGTGAGAGATTCTAACGTGCTAGAAATAATGTGGGAACAGTGAGGGTCAGTGAGGGGAGGGATGAAGGTGAGACGAGCTTGACTTGAAGCTGTATATCTAAAGCATCATTTAGCACAGGACAAGCTTGAACCTTTTCTGAGCAGGATCTGTTATCACCCAACCATATCTTCTTTGCTATCTCCGTGAGTCATTTAATGAAATGCTTTAACACTTGTTTCAGAAATAGCTCTAAAAACGCAGTGGCTCACATGAGGCTTTCCACAGAGCTTTAACATTTTACAGCACTGTCTTAATTTAGGCTCCCTAGAAACAGAGTAAGAGACAAGATTTGGGTGCACACAAATAACTAAAAAAGCTGTCTCACAAAAAAAGAATAAGAGTAGCGTAAGACCTGGGGAGAAATTAAGCATAGAAGTGGCCCGAGAGAGCACTCTCTGAGGCCTAGAATGGGAATTGTTCCAGAATTGATCCACTCTGAGGCCGGAGGTCTGGACTTTTGCACTTGGGAGCAGGACAGCAGCTAATGAATGGCTAAGGGAAATCTAGTATCAAGCGGTATCCATCTGTTCAGAGTACTTCTCTAGAGAAGGGGGCTGGAATACAGAGGAAGCACCAATGGCCTCCTGTCCCACCACCAGCAACCAAGTAATTCTGAGCTGCAGAAGTCGATGGGTGCTAACAGCAGGGTGGTTGCTGCATGCCGACGAACACAAGGCCTGAGCTCATGCTCCTCCATCCCCAGTGGTCCACAAATCTCGAAAGCTGTTTGCCAGGGCTTTTCCTTGTGTTTGGGAATATTTTTCCTGACCCCATAATTTTATAGATGCATTCTCCTTCCCTTTCATTCAGATATCTTTGTTTACTTTCAGAGTCCAACATTTAATATTTTCTATTGCTTCAATCATAGTGTGGCTTTTAAATTTTCCTTACATTTTCCCAAACCACAGAGTCAACAACACTGAAGTCAAGAAGCCCAGACTTTAACAACTGAACTTAGACAGGTTTCTGTCAAGGTGGTGGTGGTGGTGGTGGGGTGATGGGGAATAATAAAGGGAACCTTGACAGATGAGGAAGTAGACACTGGTGGTGGGATCATTGCTACAATGTTGTATGTCTAAAATTCAATATGAATATGAATATGAATAACTTTGAAAATCACGATGCTTTAATAAAACTCTTTAAAAATGCTTATGTTTTTATATAAGCGTTCTGATTACAAACATCATGTGCATTTGGATGGCCTTAGTGAACCTGGTTTGCCCTAAAGCCCTGTTGATTTTGGTCCAGGATTTCATAAAACACACTTTTGTTTTTTAACTCTTTCAGGAATAGAGACATCATGTGATACAAACATCTGTTAAAAAACAAACAGAAAAAAACAAAACACAACCAGATAATGCATTCTTTTACTTTTGAGGAACCCAAAACAAAGAAACTGACCTTAAGTGTCTAGTTTTAGGGCTAGGATGTAAAACAAGAACTTCTAAAGCAAATGTTGTCATTGTGTTTCAATACCATATCCAGTTTTCATGATGCAAGTAATAATCAGGGAAGATGACGCGGACAGCAGTGCACAGTTCAAAGTGAAGGTCACAGGGACTGCAGGGAGATCCATCACTGGATCTTACAGAACAGCACTGTGCAGCAGACCTTGTTGATCTGATGGAAATAACTCTGTCAGCACTTCTGGCATGGGAGATTTGAGACACACCTGAATCCTGAGAATTTGAAATCTGCCTGCTACTACTGAGACATTAAATTATTGATTTAAAATCAATTTAAAATAAAATAGCTGCATATAGCTAGGGGCTCAATCAGAATGTAATGAGTGGTAAAGGCAATAGACTCAGCAGAATCAATACATTTAATAAATATTTGGAAATTTTTATGATGTATTGTACATGTATTGCAATGAAAAAAGGCAAAAGCCCTGTTCTTGTGGAGTTGAAATTCTAGCTGAAGAATTACAGAAAAAATAAAATCCAATTGATGTTTATATGATATGTTTGAAGGTGACTGGGAGCTATGGAGTAAATGTATATTGTATATGTATTGCAATGAAAAAAGGCAAAAGCCCTGTTCTTGTGGAGTTGAAATTCTAGCTGAAGAACTACAGAAAAAATAAAATCCAATTGATGTTTATATGATATGTTTGAAGGTGACTGGGAGCTACAGAGTAAATGTAATAGTGTAAGATCAAAATGCCAGAAGCCATAATAGGGAGACACTTTCCAGTTTTATATATGGTAGTCAGGACTGCTAAGACTGGTCAAGAAAATGGCATTTCAGAAAGACTAGAAGGAGATAAGATGGTTTGCCCAATAAAACATGTTTAGAACCAAGGTTCTAAGTAAGTGCAAAGAGGCCAAGATAGAAAGCTGACATGTTCATAGAATAGCAAAGATAACAGGATGCCTGGAATGGTGCAAGTGATGGAATAGTCAGAGAGTGAAAAGTGTCTCACAGTGATTCAATCAAAAATAAACAACTAAACAAATGGATAGACCTGGAGAGTATTATGCTGAATGAAAAGAGTCAGAAGAAGAGGGACAGATATAGAATGACTGCATTAATTTGTGGGATATTTAAAAAACACAGTATGAAACTAATATCCAAGGCCAGGGAAAATGGGTCAGGAGAACTGGTCATTGGTTGGTCAATGGTGTGGGAGATAGAGGATAGTTAAGATAGAGGAAGGTCCATTATGACAATCACTATCACTATCACTATCACTATCACCCCATTGTTCATCGATTTGCTCGAGTGGGCACCAGTAGTGTCTCCATTTGTCTCTGTCATCACTAGTGCAGCCTGATGGCATATTGGGGTCAGAGGAATGACAATATAACAATATGACAATACTAGTTGGAAATGATCACTCTGGACAAGAACTGAGTGTTGAAAGCAGGTAAAGGGATATACTTGATAACCTTTCAGCATCTGTATCATAAACCACAATACCTGAAATGAGAGAGAGAGAAGGAGGGAGGGGGGAGAGAGAGAGAGAGAGAGAGAGAGAGAGAGAGAGAGAGGAGAGAAGTGCCTGCTATAAAGGTAGGCTGGGGTGGAGGAGTGGCTTGGATGGATGGAAGGGAAATTGGGGACCCTGGTGCTGGGAAATTACACTAGTGAAGGGATGAGTGTTGAAACATTTTATGACTGAAATGCGATACGAACAATTTTGTAATGTTCTATCTCATGGAGATTCAATAAAAATATAATAGACTTAAAAATAAATAGTTTTAAAAATTTAAAAAGTAAAAAAATTAATTCATGTGAATAAAATGCAGTTACTTTCAAATAACATGGCTTAATAGACAAGGGCACAAGTTCAATTTTGAACAAGTTCACATAGAGACTTTTACTACATTTCTGGGTAGAGCTGCCAAGTGAGGAGTAGAATATAAAATTTTAAAGTACAAATAAGCAGTAACTGACTGAAAATTCAGTATTTTTAACACATAAGTGATATGTAAAGACACGGAACTTCAAACAGAGAAAACTAAGGGAATGGGTAATGGAAAGAAGAAAAAGTCCAAGGACAGAGTCCTTTCTGATATGAACCAGTAAAATATTTTGACTAGATATAGAACAAATTGAGGAAGAAATACGTGACGTTTATCTTTGATTTACTCATGAAGAAGCAGAGTTTATAGAGAGGTTTGGACTGGTCTTCCAGTTTGGAGAGGCAAAATTGGAGTTACATACAATGAAAAGTCTCCTGGGAAAGGCATTAAGACTGTTGAGAATGGGTTGAGAGTTGTTTACAAAGAGAGAATCAACTGAGACCCAGCGTAAGAATACACATAGAGAGAAAAGAGTTATCACCAATAAAAAGTTTTAAGGGGTCTGGTAAGAAAAGGAGAGAAGAATTAAGACAAGAGAACTCAGCTAACCATAATACTTTAAAAAGAAATACAGAGCTTTAAGATTGTATTAATAATTAATACTGCAAAGTGCTACTCAAGTGATTAAAAATGAGAACTGGTTAGATAATTGGCTTAGGAAATTAGAAGATTATAGGTGACATTTAAGAACTAAT